TTTCTGTTGTTGAGTGGGTTCTTATTCTGTCTTCTTCCCATATCTTCTTCCAGTGGGTGCAGGTGGGGTCTCTCTATCTCCTCTTGTGACCCAGTGGTGTGTGGGGGCCAGGGATTCAATGTCCGCAGCTCTGGATGGTCTTGCCTCTCCTGTTAGTCTCCTCACTCTGAAGGAGTTAGGCCTCCATAGGGGTCAGGTCGGTGGAACGGGAAGGAAGAGTGGGGTGTTTCCAAATTCAGGGAGCTCTTCCTTGCCTGGGTGTGTCTACCCCAAGCAGGCCCAGGGAGTTTGGAGTGAATGGGGCTTTGGACAGGAGTGGGGTAAGAGCAGAGGGCCACTCACCTCGTTATGGATCAGGTCCCACCTGGGAATTCTTTAAGGGGGAATTACTTAAAAAGAGAGAGAGAGAGAGAGTGAGAGAGAGAGAAGACATTCTTTTTTCCCTACATTAAAAATGGGAAACAATTCAACACACAGAGTTAGTTCTCTATATGCATGGTTTGAAAATGGAACAATTAAATGAAGGGATAATCAACTTAGCTGTGATTGACATAATGTCAATTATCATTTTGGTAATTCTTGTTTTCTCCCTAAAAAATTTGTTTGATATCTGCCAAATATGAAAAATTGACTGATAAGATAAAATCCTTAGAAAGACAGACTAATGGAACTAAGAAAAATATTCACACAGACAGTGGAGTTTAGAGCAGAAGTTGCCACATCATGGCATTGTGAAACTGAACGGGAGCTTCCCAAGGTTATTAGAAAACCTTAATTTATCTAGTTACCATTCAAGAATGACCACCAGATGATAGGCATTCCCAAGGCTATTCTAGAGTTAACTGGGATCCTTTAAACATGTTAGATGTGAAGAGTTTAAGGAAGCAATAGTTTCATATGATTTGCACTCACCTTTTGTGAAGCAGATGTTAAATTCATGGGCCACTTGGAACAGGGTTATTCTACAAGACTGGAAAGATTTAGTTACAGCAGTATTGGAGTGGGTCCTCAGTTATAGTGGAAAACATGGTGAAGAGAGGAAGTTACCATCACTGAACTGTGAGGTAGGGTTAGCAGTTATGAGATTTCCTAAGATCAAATCCTTGGTGAGGGCCATTATGCTGATGTGAAAAACAGACTCCATATGTCTGTCTTGGCCCTATATCATACAGCAGATTGAATGTTTGGGACAAGATTGAAAAATCAGGAAAGAGGACTGGGCTATTTACTAAAATTATACTAGACCCACAAAGAAGCCCTCATTGATTTTTTTTTTACAAAGATTGACTTCAACTGTAAATAGAATGATATCAGATCCAGGAGTTAGACACATATTAATTGAATTTTCAGCTTTTGAAAATGCTAATCCAGAATGTAAAAGGATGATTAGTTCTTTAAGGGAAAGACCAGCACCAATGGATGAATGGGTTAGCAATACAGCTGATATTGGATCTCCTGCTTATGATGATACTTGGATAGGAAAAGTAACTTCTAAAAATGTTAAGAAAAGTCAAAGGTTAGATGTTTTAATTGTGTTAAACCAGATTATCTGAAAGAAATTGTAAATAAGGTGCTCCTAAGAACATTGTTTTTTTCTAGAGAAAATCCAAATAGAAGGCCCTTGACTTCTGGAGCATGCAGAAGGTATGGCAAAAAGACTGGCATTGGACTAATGAATGAAGGTCAACATGGGACAGGCAAGACAACCCTTTGCTATTGGGAAATGCCATAGGGGCAGCCACTCCCAGGCCCCCATATCAAATATGGATCAGTCATTCCCTGTCAGCATTGGGGAAACTGCTCCACAGGGCAATTAAAAGACTTACTGCCTGTTGTGAAAAATCACACTGTGGTGGACACAGAACACCTTTAGAAGGTAAAACAAAAATTTCAGGAGAAATTATAAAGCAAATATCGTGACAAACTTCTATAAATGATCAAAGTCCAAAGTTAAAAATATGAATTATACCAACTTGGGGAAGAGTAATGGCTAAACATCATCCAGATTTGATTTTCTGCCACAAGCAGGCTGGTGTTGCTATCGGAAGACTGTGTGAAAATGTGATGGCAAATGTGTGATTTGTGATTCCCATGTGCAACCCTGCACCCTGGTTCACACATGTGATGAGTGTAACTCTGGATCTTACCAGGGCCGGCGTGTGATCTGTGGAGGTCCGGGAGTCTCCGATGCCTACTATTGTAAAGAGTGTATCATTCAGGAGAATGGTGCGTTCTATGAACACAAAAAATATAGGTGATGGGTGGGTGGCTCCTTCCTCCTCCATCAAGCTGCTGCAGCTGCCAGAAAAGACACCTACTACCACCAGCAGAAAGGGACCCGAACCCAATGTATCATTAGAACAGCCTGCTAGAGCTAGTGGCCCCCTGCCCCTGTCTTTCCCTCACCATTCTGGTGGGGATGGAAGAGAGGTCTTCACAGAGTACTCTAGCAGACTGGAAGAAAAATTGCTAGGTTAGTTCATAGTTTGTTCTAGTTGGAGAAACAAGGCTCTGCTCTCTACATTGATAGATTCTCTCCACACCAAAAGCTTCAAAATGAGTCTTCTATCTGCGGCCTTGACAATGAAGCTGCTACAGGCAAAAGCATGACCTTGCAGCAGCTATGATGGTGGTGGTCTTCCGTCACCCTCAGTGTGGCCAGGAGCCATCAGAACAGTAATGTGATGCGACACTTCCCAGGTGGTGCTAGCTTCATGTTATTTTCCTTCTTAGAAATTGGAAATTTCTGTTGTTCTAGTAAAGTTGGTGTTCTTTTTTCATGGTAGTGAACACCTTAAATCCAAGCTCTCAGAAGGCAGAAACAAGCAATCTGTGTGTTCAAGGCCAGCCTGATCTACAGAGTTGAGTTCCAGAACAGACAGGGATACACAGAGAAACCCTATCTTGAGAAAAATAAAAATAAAATAGAACAAATAAACCACAAAATGGAAGCCCAGAGTGGGGACACACATGAGGACCCTGCCCTCAGGAGGCTGAGGAGTCCAGGTCAGCCTCAGCAACAGAGCAACAATTTTGCCAGCCTGGCACAATGGCACACGCCTTTAATCCTGACACTCAGGAGCAGAGGCAGGCAGATCTTTCTGAGTTCGAGGCCAGCCTGATCTACAAAGTGAGTTCTAAATAACCACAACTATGTAGTAAGACCCTGTCTCAAAAATATTTCCTCAAAACCACACTAAGCCAAACCACAACAGAAAGCAAATAAATCTCATGAGAATGGTATTTTACACACAAAGGATGAACATTCCTCATCTGAGAACTACAAACATTCCAGAACCCCAAAAGTTCAATCATGCCTAGTATAGTAGCCCAGGCTGGTCTGGACCTTCTCATGGCCCTGCCTTCTATGCTTCAATGACTTGGCCCACCCCACAAACACTAGGCCCAACTAACAACTGTGGTAAGCCCATCTGCCTCAGCCCCAGGAACTAAGAGTGCTTGCACATGGGCCTGTGGGGCAGGACTGCATCTCTTGGTGCTCACGTGACCTGGGCCTGTGGGGATCCAGGTCCATTCTGAGCACCTTGGGCAAGATAGAAGAGAATGCAGAACAGAGACCCGGAGTGCATCAAGCATTCCAAGTAGGGCAAGGCCATAGATGAGGGAGGCTCTCAGTCACCACAGAGCTTCTTGGATACAGTTAATCTGAGGCTGGTGGGATATCACAAGTTCTGAGGTGGAGGAGGAAGCACTGAAGGAATGTGGACAGTGCAGTGAGCCCCCACAAGCATGCCAACTGCCCTGATGAGAAGCCATGTGCAAGTGTTACCACTTCCATCTTGTCCACTGATGTCCAGCTCCCAATGGCAGCCACTGCCTCTGCCGAGCAGGCAAGCTAGGACTATGGCTGCTTCCCAGTGCTGGGTAGCTGCTCAGTCATAACAGCCACATAGTAGGTAAGGATGATGATACTAAGCTTTCAGGACACCCAGGGAAGTCAATACTCCAGGAATGGGGGGAACACGGAGTACACCTGGGAGCCAGCCAGGGCAACTGGAATGGACATCTCTGGTCCACACTGAGCCTGGAGGAGGGACATGCAAGGCCATCATCTATTCACCTGATGCAGAAACTTCTCTGCCTTAGTCCTGGCAGGTAGGGACTAGCAGATGAGGGTCTGTTCGGTTATCAAATTTCTGTTGTTCTATTAAAGTTGGTGTGTATTTTCTGGTAAAAAATATGAATAAATGGCATTATAATTGAAGGTTTGGTAAACACAGTGACAGATGTAACAATAATTGCACCAAAATCTTAGTATCCAAATTGGCTTCTTTAAGAGGTAAACATTCAGCTTTTGGGGACTGGAACTTTATCTCAGGTAAAACAGAATGAGAGATGGGTCAAATGTGTAGGGCCAGAAGGACAAGAGAGGAAAATTAAAGCCATATGTGGCTAGCATAGCAAGGAATTTACAGGGATGTGATTTGTTATAGCAATGGAATACCCAGATTAACATTTCTCCAATCTCAGAAACAAACCATAAACTAATGTATGTTTCTGAGAAAAATATTAAGAAGGTGTTATAAAGAACAGTCTTCAACCATTTAGGTTGTACATAAACAGAGCACAACAGCTGCTGATCTTTCAAAGGTACCTACTGTTGGGAGCTGCAAAGTACCGCGCCCAAAAGATGGTACCGGTTTCCGCCTTCCACCAGCCCCACGGCAAGTGCTCTCTGTGGTAAACAACTCCTAATTTGGCTGGTACAGGGGCAGTTAAATATTCAGCATATTGAAGAATCAACCAGTCTGTGGAATTCTCATGTATTTGTTATTAAAGAGGACTCTGGAAATGGAGAATGTTAACAGATCTAGGAGCTATTAATATGGTGATTCAGCCACTGGACTCCTTACAGCCTAGAATACCCTTGTTTTTCCTATTCCTAAAGGATGATCTATTGTAGTGATTGATTTAAAAGACTGCTTGTACACATGGGGGTGGGTCTAGGCCCTATCCCAAAGGATACGACAGACTCTGATGGAACCTATGGAAGGCCTCACCCTCCAGGGGGAACAGAAAAGATATGTGATAGGTAGGGTTATAGTTGGGGGTGGTGGTAGGGGAGGACGGGAGGGAGAGGGAACTGGGATTGACATGAAAAACAATCTTGTTTCTAATTCAAATAAGAAAATCTGCAAAAAAGACTGCTTGTTTGCTGTGCCTTTGCAAGAACAGGATAGAGAAAAATTTGCCTTCACGGTGCATACTTATAATATGCAGCCTGTTAAAAGCATCAGTGGAAGGCAGCTATGCTCACCACTATATCACCAACTTATCCCTAGTACATGAATGGACTTTGGGAGCCCACTCCACAAAGAGGGATACTCTCTCAGCCTAGACATATGGGGAAAGGCCTAGGTCCTGCTCCAAATGGTATGACAGACTTTTAAGATTCCCCAATGGAAGGCCTCACCCTCCCTGGGGAGCAGAAAGGGGATGTGATAGGGGGTTGTTGGAAGGCAGGGGAGGAGGGGAGGGAGAGGGAACTGGGATTGATATGTAAAAGAAGCTTGTTTCTAATTTAAATTTTAAAAAAAGGAAAAAAAAGTATCAGTGGAAAGTTATTCCACAAGGAATGTTAAACAGCCCTACCTTGTGTCACTATTTTGTACAACAGCCATTGGGAATAATTTGAAATCAGTTTCATCAATGTATAATTTGCCATTATATGGACGATATCTTACTATCTGATTCAGATGCAGATACCTTAGAAAAAAATGTTTGAAGAAGTAAAGAAAACTTTTGCCTTGTTGGGGATTACAGATTGTTCTTGAAAAAAATAAAAAAGGAAGATTCTGTTAATTCCCAGGATATAAGATAGGTTACAAAAAATTCAACCACCAAAAATACAAATCAGGAGAGATCAGTTTTGAACTCACAATATCTTCAAAAATTGCTGGGAAATGTTAACTGGCTATGGCCCACAGTTGGATTGACAACTCAAGAACTAAGTAATTTATTTCAAACCTTACAAGGTGATAAAGACTTAAATAGTCCAAGCAAATTATCAGCTGAAGCTGAAAATGAATTGGTTCTGATGGAGAAAAATATTACAGGATGAACATGTGTATCATTTGGATCCAGAGATTAATTGTATTCTAATTATATTCTACTTTCTACCCATTCTCCTACTGGAATTTTTTGAGATGGGGTTTCTCTGCATAGCTTTGGAGCCTGTCCTGGAACTTGATTTGTAGACCAGCCTGGTCTTGAACTCACAGAGATCTACCTGCCTCTGCCTCCAGAATGATGGGATTAAAGGTGTTTACCGCCACTGCCCAGCCCTGCTGGAATTCTTATGCAGAGAGAAGATATTATTTTGGAATGGATTTTTTACTGCACAAACAGAGCAAAAACCCTAAAGGCCAATGTAGAAACGGTTTCTGAATTGATTCTAAAAGGAAAATTGAGACTTGATCAATTAACAGGAATGGATCCAATAGAAATTGTATTACCTTTTACTACTAATGCTGAAATTTCCTCTTTATGGGTGGAAAATAAACATTGGCAAAGAGCTTGCAGTAAATTTCTGGGTGAGATTAGCAACAAATATCCCAAACGCAAGAGACTTCAATTTATAAAAAGAACTACTTAGGTCCTTCCTCACATTGTACAAGGAACACCAATATCTGGAGCCCCTACATTCTATACTGATGCAAAAATAAGGAAAGGCAGGTTATAAGTCAGGAAATTTAAGTAAAATGGCTCAAAGTCATTATGATTCTGTTCAAAAGTAAGAATTATATGCTATTCTCATGGTATTATTATTAGATTTTTCAGAACCTCTTAATATAGTTACTGACTCTCAATATGCAGGAAAAGTTGCTTTATATATTGAAAATGTTGAACCTATTCCAGATGACTCAGAATTAACTTTGTTATTTATTCAATTATAAGAAATAATTAGAATTAGAAATCATCCCTTGTATATAACAGGTATCAGATCCCATACAAGTCTACCAGGCCCTCTAGCACAAGGTAATGATGAAACTGACCAACTGTTGGTAGGAAATGTGCTAGAAAACTCAGAATTTCATAAGAAACACCATATTAATAGCAAGGATTTGAAAAAAGGATTTTCCATCACTTTGCAAAAAGCCAAGGAAATTATAAGGCAATGTCTTTCTTGTTCTTGGTATAACCAAACTCTACCTGCAGGAAGTAACCCAAAGAGTACTCAAAGAAATAAATTTGGCAAATGGATGTGTTTCA